ACACACACACACACACACACACACACACACACACACACACACACACACCTTAAGTGTGTCATCATGAGCAGAGACTCTTGTATGCCCACACTTGGCAGGCCTTGAATAGAGCTGTGAACAGGCTCAGATGATCCAGTATAAAATCCTGATTAGTCGCTTGTAAAGTGTCTGAAATAATCATTTTACTATCTTCACCTCTTGTTTTGTTTGTAGTTAATTACCTCATGATGAAAAAAAAATCTCAGCTGTCCACTTAAAACTAACATTGATCGAGCTGACATCAGATAGAATCATCATAAGTTATATTATTATGGCCCTCTCACAGACCACTGGATGAATATTTAACACCAATGCTTGTAAAATGTAAAAATGTAAAGTAAAAAGCTCAGAGTCTGTGTTAGGAATGGCTCTCAGCTACTTCCTCACCAAATTTTAGCTCATTTGTAAAAATTGCCAGAGTTGTAGCCATTTTTGTCTTTGTTTTGGCGGCCATCTTGAATCGAGTTAACTCCAATAGTTTCCTAAAGCGGGGGTACACTACCCTTCACATTTTACGTGTTTCTCTGCTGATTCAAAGGCTGAATTACCTCTTCAGGTTCTGCAGAACCTTGTTTATCGCCCTTCAGTTCAAATCGTGTGTCAGAGCAGAGAAACCGTGCAGGATAACAAGGTTCAAAGTTACATTAAAGAGCCTGTGACGTGCTTATTATTATTCAAACACAAAAAGTCAAAGAAAACATCTTTAWAGTGAAGAAAGTTGGAACAAAACACACAATTTAACACATTTTGTCCTTTAATTGGCATTTTTTTTCATTTGAACTTGGCTCAGCTAAAGTGAAACAGGAAGTGACATCAAAGGGGAACTCTTTAACAATAAAACTCTGGGTTTTGTTTATTGAAACAATATTATTTAAACTCTGACTCTTCTTCATCTCTTTGACAGACTCAAAATAATCTTAAAGGGATCCCAGATTAGTTGTAACATTAGACTTTATATGATAAACATTTATTTTAACTAACATAAAGATTGTAAAAATACTGTAGGATGTTCAGTTTTTATCATTTTTAAACTAAAAGTTTAAAAATATATTTTAACACGGACGGAGCCATTTTATTTCCACACAAAGCATTCTGGGTAAATGATGACGTGGATAGGTCCTCAGTGCGAGGCTGCTAGCGAGCTATATCCACCCTGAAGGTTAATCTTGGACAATATCTGATGATTGTAGTAAAGAGGTTCTGATCCATTTCCCTGCCCTTGTCTTTGCTGGTCCAGAGGTCCAGTGCGCCTCCCCGCTGGGCTGCAGCCTGAGCCGGCCCGTGGACCTGGACAAGGAGGACCACCAGCGGGTGCTCTGCAACAACGAGCTGTGCCCGCACGGCAACTGGATGCACCTGCAGTGCTTCTACGAGTGGGAGAGCTCCATCCTGGTCCAGTTCAACTGCATCGGCCGCGCCCGCTCCTGGAACGAGAAGCAGTGCCGGCAGAACATGTGGACCAAGAAGGGCTACGACCTGGCCTTCAGGTTCTGCTCCTGCCGCTGTGGCCAGGGGCACCTGAAGAAGGACACCGACTGGTACCWGGTGAAGAGGATGCAGGACGAGCGCAAGAAGAAGCCGTCGGAGAGGAGCGCGGGCAGGAGRGCGGCGGCCGGAGGGGGCGGGGCCACTGCCGCCTGCGCCCTGGACGGACCCTTCGACGAGCCCAAGAAGAGCAAGCCAGCCGGGGGGAAACCAGCCCACAGGGCGTCCAGTCAGGAGCTGCCTCGCAGACAATCAGTGGACCGACAGAACTCTACGGAGAGAGGAGCGGCTGGAGGAGGCCCCTCCCCCTTCGGACCTCCTCACAAGTCTCCGTGCGTCTCCCCAGGACAATCTCCTCCCACCGGTTTCTCCTTCTCCCCCATCCCCGCCCCGGGACTGGCAGGTTTTCGTGGTTCCCGTCAGCTGGGCGAGTTCTTCAAAGCCACCGCCCACCCGGACTCGCAGAGGAAACACCTGCTGGCGGGGGGRGGAGCTCCGGGTCGGGGAGGCGGCTGCCCCCTGGCGGGCGGTGCGGGCAGCCCCCACCTGGACCCCGGCTCTGTTCTCCCCCTGCAGCTCTCTTTGGCCCTCCACCACCGCATGGCCCCCGGCGGKGGGGCGGACCCTCACCCGGTGCAGTTCCTGAGGAGGCTGGACCTGACGGAGCTCCTCGCCCACATCCCCCGCCATAAACTCAACACGTACCACGTCCGCATGGAGGACGACGCCCAGGTGGGCCAGGGGGAGGAGCTACGCAGGTAGGTTTGTTTCTATGTGATTAAATGAGCATCTTTATAAGAATAAAACAACTTTTCATGTTTTATTTCTTTATTTTAGTGTTTAAAAASTTTAAAAAAGATGGACTAAATGAATGTTTGTGAAGTGAAGCACCTGCCTGGTGAATGTCCGCAGGTTCATCCTGTCGGCTCTTAGTGCCAGCCAGAGGAACGTGGTGAACTGCGCGCTGTGCCACCGCTCGCTGCCCATRTTCGAACAGTTCCCCCTGGTGGACGGGACCCTCTTCCTGAGCCCCTCGCGCCACGACGAGATCGAGTACGACGTGCCCTGCCACCTGCAAGGTCAGCCTCACTTATTATTATAATTAACTAAAACTGACCACATAACCAGGACTGAAACTGAAAAAAACTTTTTAGTTAACTAAAAAGGGGGACCGGAGGGTGTGCTCCAATTACAGAGGGGTCACACTCTTAAGCCTCCCTGGTAAGGTCTATTCAGGGGTCCTGGAGAGGAG